TGTTTGCTTCATTCATGGTCTTGCTCTATCATCCTTTCTCCTCAAGACTCTCGAAAGACTGATCGACCTGGAGATAAGGAGTCGTATAGACACCACTTCTCTCAGCAACTCACAACACGCATACATAAAGGGCAAGTCTGTGGAATCTGCACTGCACGAAGTGGTGGGATATATTGAAGGAACATGGAAAACTCAAACTTTACGCTGGCCGCCTTCTTAGATATAGAGGGAGCCTTTAACAACGTTAAACTTGAATCCATAAACCACTCACTTAGGGAAGTCGGCATTCCTGATACTCTGACATATTGGATAAATAAAATGCTTAACAGCAGAATTATAAATTCAAGTGTGGGGATACAAAAAATCAGGAAAACAGTAACTAGAGGCACACCTCAAGTAGGGGTGCTTTCGCCGTTACTATGGCTACTGGTAATTAATATTATTTTGAGGGAATTGGACGGGGAATGTATCAAAGTTGTAGCTTACGCGGACGACGTGGTGATATTGATTTCCGGAAAATTTCCTTCTACAATCTCTGAGCTTATGCAAAGGGCTTTACTGACTCTGTCACGCTGGGCCAAGGCAAATGGTCTTGGTGTAAATCCAACGAAGACAGAACTGGTAATGTTTACTAGGAAGCGTAAGCTCAGTTTTTGTTCCACCAACATTGGATGGGGTGCAACTTCACCTATCTCCTGAAGCAAAGTACCTCGGCACAATCCTGGACTGTCAACTACGATGGAAAAGGAACGTTGAGGAGCGGGCGAAGAGAGGAATGATTGCACTCTATGCATGCAAGAACTCTATTGGGAAAAGCTGGGGGCTTAAACCATCGACTATACACTGGTTGCATAACACTGTGGTGAAGCCCATCTTGTCCTATGGCTCTCTTGTTTGGTGGAACATGGGTAAATTTCTGTGAGTCAATAGAAGGGGTCAATGACGCTGCTAGGTTTCGAAAACTACTATCCAAGGACCCGAAGTCCATCGGTAGTATTAAGAAGCAAGATGGAGCGTGGACGAACTCAGGTTCTGAGACTCTTAATCTCCTAGCCGAGACTCATTTACCGGGTTGCAAAGACGTGGGTACCATCGACGGTGATCGTGATGACACTCAGCTTTTTGCTACCCCGGATCTGGATCTCATTAGCAGGGTGGTAAACAGAAATAAGATACGATGGGCGGTCAACACTTTTAAGCCTTATAAATCGTCAGGACCGGATGGTATTTTTCCGGCGATGCTTCAATATGCCTCGCCAGGTATTTATCTGATCCTTGAGAAGATTTATACTGCGTGTCTGACTCTCTCGTGTGTTCCGGATCTATGGAATGAGGTAAAGGTCACTTATATCCCCAAAGCAGGGAAACCAAGCCACTCTGCACCAAAAGACTATAGACCCATTAGCCTATCATCCTTTCTCCTCAAGACTCTCGAAAGACTGATCGACCTGGAGATAAGGAGTCGTATAGACACCACTTCTCTCAGCAACTCACAACACGCATACATAAAGGGCAAGTCTGTGGAATCTGCACTGCACGAAGTGGTGGGATATATTGAGAGGAACATGGAAAACTCAAACTTTACGCTGGCCGCCTTCTTAGATATAGAGGGAGCCTTTAACAACGTTAAACTTGAATCCATAAACCACTCACTTAGGGAAGTCGGCATTCCTGATACTCTGACATATTGGATAAATAAAATGCTTAACAGCAGAATTATAAATTCAAGTGTGGGGGATACAAAAATCAGGAAAACAGTAACTAGAGGCACACCTCAAGGAGGGGTGCTTTCGCCGTTACTATGGCTACTGGTAATTAATATTATTTTGAGGGAATTGGACGGGGAATGTATCAAAGTTGTAGCTTACGCGGACGACGTGGTGATATTGATTTCCGGAAAATTTCCTTCTACAATCTCTGAGCTTATGCAAAGGGCTTTACTGACTCTGTCACGCTGGGCCAAGGCAAATGGTCTTGGTGTAAATCCAACGAAGACAGAACTGGTAATGTTTACTAGGAAGCGTAAGCTCGGCGTTTTTGTTCCACCAACATTGGATGGGGTGCAACTTCACCTATCTCCCGAAGCAAAGTACCTCGGCACAATCCTGGACTGTCAACTACGATGGAAAAGGAACGTTGAGGAGCGGGCGAAGAGAGGAATGATTGCACTCTATGCATGCAAGAACTCTATTGGGAAAAGCTGGGGGCTTAAACCATCGACTATACACTGGTTGTATAACACTGTGGTGAAGCCCATCTTGTCCTATGGCTCTCTTGTTTGGTGGAACTGTCTGAGCCTCAAGTCGACATCGAGTAAACTAGACAAGGTACAAAGAGCCGCCGCAATCTTAGTTACAGGAGCCAGAAGGAGTACGCCACAAGTAGCTCTGAACGCAATGCTGTACTTCAAGCCTTTGGGCCTCAGCATTAAGTGTCAGGCTGCGCGTAGCGCCCTGAGGCTACACGAACAAAAACTCTGGCGGAACTGTACCTTTGGGCATAGTAGTGTTCTAAATGAACCAGGGGTAGCATTGGACCAACGCGCTAAACTAAGTGACTATATATCACCAATCCCTAGATTTGACGATGTAGATGTCGTTATTCCTAGTAGAGACGACTGGAGAAGAAGTAACCCTCCTCTGGACGGTCTGGCCTTCTATACAGACGGATCCAAGATGGAAGAAGGTACTGGGGCAGGCGTCTACTGTGAAAGGTTAGGCCTTGAGTTGACCTACAAGCTGGATAGTAATTGTAGTGTTTTCCAAGCTGAAATCTTCGCGATCTGGAAGGCAGCGGAATTGATAAAAAACCTGGATGCTGAGGTCGTTGAACCGGTGACTATCTTTGTGGATAGTCAAGCGGCTCTTAAAGCCATCAAATCTTGCCACATCAAATCCGAAGCCGTCCTCAAGTGTAGAGCAGCTCTGGAAGAACTTAACCATAGCTATCGGTTGTGTTGGGTACCAGGACATTGTGACATCTTGGGTAATGAAAGAGCGGACGAACTAGCTAGACGAGGGTCTCAATCCACCGATCTAGAAACTGATGACTCAATTAAACCACCCATATGTCTTTTCTACAGAAACTTTGAGGCATTCTTTGACGAAACAGCCCGCGAACTTTGGCACAACGAACCTAGGTGCAACGTGTCAAGATCAATCTGGCCGACTCTGTCTACCAAAAGAACGCACTCACTATTGAACCTGAACAAAGCTGAAATTAGAGTGATGACGGGAATCATCACTGGTCACTGCAACATCAGGGCCCTTACTAGTAAATGGGATCTGGATGCAACTGATTACTGTAGACTCTGTGCTGACGAGGAGGAGACGGAGACAATTGAGCATCTCCTGTGTCACTGCCCAGCCCTGGCTTATAGGCGACACAGACTAATGGGTGCTCATTTTCTACCGGGTCTCAGCTTCTTCTCATCAACCGAACCTGCTCTAATCTACAGCATAATTAGAAACATAAAATGGTTAGGAGCACATAGCCTTGGCACGTAATGCTTTCTTCTGTATGACTCATAGGACCATCGACCTTTCACTCACTCTCACCCCTTTAATTTACTACTCCTTTCTCTCCTACAGATCTGTCTTCTTGGTGTCTTCTCTTCACTTCATTTTCTCTTGTGGATGATCACAACGGACCCAATCGGTCTCAGAGTGTTGCAGTCACACATGTGACTGCACATCCCAAAACCTAACCTAACAACAAAGGTTTGATTTTCAAGGCTATGATTTAGTAACGCCTTGCTCTTCACAAAGTATGCTACTCGATCGGCTTATAACCCTTACCCTTCCATCTACTTTCGAGAAGCGGCTTGTACATCTCGAACATAAAGGAAGTGCAGCTGGAATAAACATTAACATTGTTGAATGCGGCAAAGGCGATAAAACCTATTACTAATGCCTGGGGCCTGGCTGGAGTGGTGGTGGCATTGCCGGGCTTATAATTGCTGGTACCTTTGTGGAAAATGTAGAAAAGTTGATAGTATGTGCGGCTGGACCGTATTCGATGCCATCAGAAATATCAGCTTTTCATAATTTACGCGATGTGAACCAGTGGTCTCCTAGTATGCGAAAGATACTAGAAGATTTATATGGAGCCGATGGACTTACTGAACTATGGAATGGATGGGTTGATTTACTAAATAAGTTTCATGAAGAAAAAGGCGGCGATTTTTGCCAAAGGGAGATACATATGATAGAAGCACCAACGCTTATATTACGAGGCAATCAAGACTCCATGGTTGCCACTGAACCCATGGCTTATTTAAGGGACCACATGAAGAACTCAAGGTAATTTAAAGTAAAATACAATTTCATATGTGTAGACTTTTTATATGTAACCTATTTATAGGTACTATGCATTTTCCAAGGGAAAACACAATTTCCATTTACGTTATGTGGATGAATTTAACCAGTTAGTTGCAAAATTCTTTTTGCATACCTGAAACAAATGTTTAGATAAATAATAAACATGATCATCATAAAACCAAATATCCACAATTGGTTTGTTGGTCTGGCATTATTAAAAATTGTTTTTACTATTTTTAAGAAACAATTTTATTCATTCCTTTCAACTTTACAGAAATATACCACAGGGAATATTAATTAAAATATGGTTTGAAATGTGTTTTTTTTTTCGAAATATACAATAAACTATTTTAGTAAACGGTTAGTTATAATATCTATAACAATTTTACATCTATATACTATGGCAGTGATGTATCCAACAAGAATTCACTGACTAACCTATTAAATGTATTAGCATACGCAATATGAATGTTGTGTTTGCCATCGGGGAATTCATAATATCTGTAAAAACAAAAGTATATCAACGTTTACAATTAAAAAAACAAATTTCTATAGAACTCCCACCTTGTATTCTTTAAGTGCTCTCTTAAATATGCAACATGTTCAAATGGCTTCATGGGATCTTTCCTGCCATGCAATATTAGCGTAGGTGCTTCAATTGCATTCAATTCGTTTGTGCAAACATCGCCATTGGGCAATTTAAAAAGGGTATCGACTAAATCATTCCACAATTTTGAGAATCTTTCAACACCGTATATTTCCTCCATAGGGTTGCGCATTTTCGCTGGCCATTTGCTAACATCCCGCATTCCGTCATACAGTTGTAACTCACTTCGGGACATATAAGCACCACTGCCCCAAATCACAAGTTTTTCTACCATTTCAGGATAGCGATTAGCTGCTATAAGACCAGTTGTGCCTCCAGCACTCCAACCAATAATCGAGAATGTTGATTTGTTTAATGATTTCATTAAATCCACAGCATATTCTGCATCAATTTGCAATGAATCTGTTCTCCATTCTCTGGTAGGTGGAACCGATTTACCATATCCAGGTGGATCCCAAGCAATGATTGTGTGATTAGGCAGTAATTTGGGCAATTCTCTGATTTGTGGACTAAAATCTGTCCAAATCGATCCCATAATGCCTGGCATAAGCAAAACGGTTTTGGTACCCTGTCCACATTCTACAATATTAATGTCAGTGTCCTTCACTTTAACTTTACGTTCGACGTGCAGAGAACGTTTATTTTTAATCCTGCAAAAAGTTGTTGTGTGTAATTGAACTCGGCGGACAAATGCTGATTGCATATTGTTTTTCTTATAAATCACTTTCTCTATCGGACACCTATACTGTGACTATCAAATGACATTTGAACTAATTATTCGCAGATTGTTTTATATATCCGTATATTTCCTGGCAAAAATATCGAGTGTCACCGATTAGATTGCCTTAATTGATAAGCCTTATAACTTCAGAATATTATAGCAAATTGTTAATATGTATGTGATTTTAATTTGTTCACTAATAAAGATAAAGTGCGTACATTTATTATTAGCTAATGATAAATTTACGCACTTTTTATTGTTTCAATTTGATAAAAATTATATTTTAGTCAATTCCAAAGTTGAAATATTTGGTTTGTTCCCCGCTGCAAGAATCCACCAATTTTTAAAATTTTTGTCAATATCATAAAGGAGAAAATTGAATTTTGTACGAACTTGGAGTGTTACAAATATATACAGAATGAAAATAAATAAATCATATATATCAAACCAATATAATGATATAGTAAAACAAGAATTGTATATGCCTAAGCTCTTGTCTTATAAATACTAAAAGTAAATGAATTTTATATATTACAAGCAATAAACAGAAATTGAAATTATATACGATGACAGATTATGGAAGTAGATAACAGAAGTCATGCATTTTATAGAAGATAGAGATTTAAAACATATGATTATCTTCAAAATGATGTTGTGCTACTAATCATTTAGAATCTGTCATTAAAAAATGCCCATTCTCGATTTTAATTTTTCAAGATTTTCAATGGGCTGGTAAATGAATACAAATGCTTGTTAAGGTTTGTAACTTTGCACATATATAATTGAAAATTTAAAAGAGAAGAAAAATAATTTACAAAAAATGTTTGTTATTGTTTTGTTGTTGTTTTTTGTAATTAAAGAAAAGTCCTTATTTTGATGGCGATTTTTGGAAAATCGCCGATTTTTTACCAAAAACCAAGTTAAAAAATAAGGAATATCTTCACCGATTGGCTTTATCCTAGTTCATACGAGAGCTATACACTCCCAGAGAAACGTTGCAAAATTTGGAACCGATTGGATTATTAGTTTTTGAGTTATCGTGCCCGCCATTCGCAAAAAAATGTTTAGAGAAAAACGCGTTTAAAGTTTGAGAAACCCTTCAGCCGTCACTTGATGCTGACACAATAAATCGGCTATATCTTCAAGAGTTCTGGAGATTTTCACTTGAAATTGTAGAGACATTCTTTAATCAGTGTAGATTCGAATTATATTAACAAAAATTTTGACCCCGAGAATGGGGGGGGGTCCCCTTAATGCATTATTTATTTTTTGACTGGTCAAATAAAATTCATACTCAATATTGGCTTGTCGTATTAATTAATCCACAGTAACTTTTCATTTGACGAATATAACAGACAGATGGGGTGTTATCTGTCTGTTATATTCTATCCTTTCCACGACAAAGGAGTCTACGATCCGAAACGACCCGAGTCTTACTCGTCTGTCAAATCTTCCTATTGTTTAAAAGCAATAGGGCTGCTACAAATACAACAACATCCACAATATTGTAAGTGGTTTGTTAAAAGTAAAACACATGCTCTAGATTGAAAGTGGTTTGTTAAAAGTAAAACACATGATCTAGGCCAGCTTAACTTAATGAACCAATTTAACAATAATTCAATCCTTTGGCCATTAATCCGTTTTTAATTAAAAAAATGTTTGTGACTGTAATCATATTCGAAAATTAAGTTCTGCGAGTTCATTCTCATTTTGCTTTGAATGAAATAAAATAAATAAATAACACAAACACATTTTATTGTTGACAACTAAACTGTAAATGATAATACTTTATTATTTCTAATTGGCATAAGGAAAATCGATTCACTTTAACTGAGATTTCAAGATTGGTACATAGTCGTCATATTGAGCCTGATAATAATTGCCAGCAATGGGGTTTCCTAATTTATATTTGGTAATATAATCTCGTGTTTTGATACTCAGACGTCCTTCACGGCTTCTGCATACAACAACAGAGAAGAATATTTAAATCAACTGAAAGTATTTTAAGGTATGCATACTCACGTTTTTGCTATAAATTTGTCGGTGGAAATTTTCTCTTCTTGTTTGAACACTAGGAAAACATAACGATGCAAACCAGAACCTTCTGGTGGACCAGAACCAATATATTCTGCTACGACTTGACCGTCGGCCACTTTATTGCCTGGAATATTGATAACCAGCCAGTGCAAAATTTCACGATAAGTTGGTTCTTGGCGGGATGGTGCATCTGGGTCGACCATCAACAATGTATAGAGTGCACCATCTTCTGCTTCCCAGCTAACTACAGGTTGATCCTTGACTTGTGTTGGTGTTAATTCCTTGCCCAATTCAACTTTGACATCTCCAGGATAGGTAACCTTGGCAATGGCACCAGGTTTAGTATCAATAATATCGGGAATAATTCCACCAGTATCCATTTTATAGAAATAACTTTGTTACTTTATGGTTCACACAAAACTATGCTATTCTTCAACAACCCAAGCCTTTTTATCGAGTTTTCGTAGTCCCCCCAAAAAACACTCATTTATTTTTGCATTATCATGGAAGTAACATTGATATCAAATAGATCACCTCTAATCAATTCCATGATAAGAAACTTCCAGTGAAGATACGACGAATGAGTGTAAAATAAAATGCAACAACAAATATAATCAGCAGTTGCTACCGTTCAGTTAGTCATTTGTGTGTTGGTTAATGGTCAAAATAGCAGAAATTTCGATGATCAATTATGAAATCACAGATGTATTGACTTTTATCACAAATTAGTTATCGCACCCACCACCCGCTGAATGTGTCGACCTATAAACACTAAATTATCAATGGCATGCAAATTTGATTTCACAAAAAGACTGAGTAATAGCATAAGTGAACTTTGTTACATACGATTCTAGAACTTTTCCTTATAAGAATTAAATACAGTCAACAACGAATTTATTGTCCTGTTTCCATTGTGTGTAATTGCAATTATATAATCGCCACAAATAAGCAAAGGACTATCTCAAAATATACAATTGTATATTTATAATATTTTTTAAATGCGGGGATTTATTACTTCTATGGACACGGTGCATTTCACATATGTATAGAAACACTAGAGTAAAACATGGTCCGACCATACAAATCCTTATATATTAACCTCCAACCAGGAGATTGAAGTGGATATCATGAAACAATTGAATAATAAAAATAGAAAACAACTTTTTTTGTCTCATATGTAACTTCAATAAAAATTAGTGTTTTAGTTAATAAAAAATAAAAGTTATGTTGTTTTGTGTACCTTAAATGGCCTATTTGGCTTTGTTACTATGCTTAATAAATGAAATGTATTTTGTTATGTCAAGAAATTAATGTTTATTTTACAAAACAGCGTAAGGGGTAATGTGTTACGGCTTCACTTAAAAACAAAACGGAACGTAGAAATTCCTGTTAGTTACTGTTGCATTGCCTCTTACATAACCAAATGTTAATTTGTGGTAATTAACACACCTTCGCATTTTAAACTCCATTATGGGAATGAATATAGGAATTAGTTTTGTTTATTTTTTTATTTAAATTGAGCCATTAAAGTTGGAACATATTCATCATATTGGGCTTCGTAGTAATTTCCCGCAACAGGATTTCCCAAGTTATATTTCGAAATATAATCTCGTGTTTTGACATTCAAACGACCTTCAAGAGATCTGCAATTAAGAAAAATAAAATAAATTGTGTAACTTATAACAGTATGTGTTTATGGACTCACGATTTTGGTATGTGTTTTTCGGCGGAAATCCTTTGTTCCTGCTTAAATATCAGAAAAACATAACGATGTAAACCTGTGCCCTCCGGTGGTCCAGATCCAATATAGTCAGCAACCACTTGACCATTTGAGACTTTATTACCAGGAATATTGATAACTAGCCAATGCAAAGCTTCGCGATAAGAGGGCTCTTGACGCGATGGTGCATCTGGATCAACCATCAACAATGTATAGAGTGCTCCATCTTCTGCTTCCCAGCTAACTTCAGGTTGATCCTTAACTTGTGTTGGAGTTAACTCTTTGCCGAATTCAACATTAACACCGCCATGATAGACAACCTTGGCAGCAGCACCAGGTTTTTCATCGATAATATCAGGGATAATTCCACTGGCATCCATATTTAGGAAAAACAAAACTATTTCTAATATATTCCAAACACTAAGTTCGAGTCTCTTTTATATTCGAGTTTGCTGGTTCGTTGACTAATTTATCATAGGCGTTCCAGGAAACCAATTTAAATCAACTTTAGCCATCATTGATAACGAACTTCCAGTAAAGATAAAGTGAGTGCGAATCTCACAACAACAAGAAATAGTTATGACAGTTATTTGAATACAGAACTTGAATGTGTACCCAACAGATTTGAACGTGTGCTGATAATCAATTATAAAATCAGTACTTATTTAGGTGTTCTCTTATCAACAGGTATCAGTTAATTAATACACCTCACGCTAATTGTGGTCAGTACATGCTTCTGAAATACGAATGTAACGATGGTGAGCCCTAACCAAACTTTGATCGATATGGTACACTTTTTTAATATTAAATACAATATAAAAAAGTAAAAGCATATCTTAGGGTGCAAAAAGAAAATAAAAATTAAAAAATGTTTGCAAGTCACTTTTTTACATAAACTGTAATTCAATGAATATTGTATATATTCTTGTTCATAGGCAATATATCATTTTGGTACCACGGCAGATTATGCCAATAATCTAAACATTTCCCTTCAATTTGAATTATACTCGCATCTGGAATGGAAGAAATGCTTAGAATTTAAATTAATCACTGATTAAAAAAAAAAAAACAACATAATTTAATAATATTCGAGTATATTTGCATGGTGATTTTTATTTATATTGTTCATTTTGTATTTGTATAATTTATCTAATTAACGATAAAGTTGATCAATTTGTTTTTACTTTTGGTTGGGGCGCATTATATAAATGCTCGTCTCTCTTGTACCTTATCAATAATAACCATTTATTGCATTTAATATATATTTTGTTTTTTAATTTCTAAATATACTTTAAGGGGATTTTCGAAAGAAAGAAAATACTTTTTAATTTGCTTGGCGAATATTTGAATTATTGGTTATTGTAAACTTCTGCAGAATGCGATTGTTAATTTATTGTACACAATAATATTGATGTAGATTTTGAATTTGTCAATGTTTTATTGGTTAATTTTGTTTTAACATAAATATTTTGGAATAGAGTTTATTTATTTTCATGAGAAGCTTATTTATAGTGGGAGTTGTTCATTAACTTCAACTTGTATTATGGCTATTTATTCGTACATGAACACTTGCATTATTATAACGACGAGAGTATATTCCGGGAACCAATGCAGCTTGCTTATATATGACTAAAACTATCAATAACTTCTTTTCAGAGGAGATTATTTGTCTTCAAAAGTAAAGTTTAAACTACCAAATAAAAATAATAATAGAAAATATATTTACCGATAACATTACAGAATATATAAGGATTATATAAAATTAATACAATTACATAAAGCATTTGAATGAATACAGGGGTTTTTGTTTTTAAATAATTTTCTTGTGTTTATAGGAATACATGTGTGTTTGTGTGGAGAGTAGACTAAAGAATATATTTTATATATTGTTATTGGAATTATTATTTATGCATATTTTTTTCAATATTTCAATATTTATTCTTGCTTCAATTTTTTAAATTGATTGAATGCCTGCATGATAGGCCAACATGAAGGAATACTACGAAGGATCGTGTAAAGTGTTATTTTCCTTGCCTCTTTTTTACTGTTTGCAATTTCGTAAAATTTGAAAGGTCGTTTGGGCAATTCCACATAAAATTTCTTGTAAACAACAACCATGGGTGTTTAACAACGCGTTTCGTACAGCCCACTGCGACCGATATAACGTACCCATTTTACAACATCGTGATCGGAATAGTTTAGTTTTGGTTCGAATACTTTCAAATAACGCACTTTAAAACCAGATGGTGCAAAAGGTACTTCAAAGTTCATAGAAATGGGTGGACGTGTCCACTTCTTTTTCGTGTCCGTTTCCAAAAGTTCTATTTCGGCCGACAATTGGGTTTCCTTCATGCCAGCCATGCGTTTTATCTTCCACACAATTGCATTTTCGGAGGCCTTGTATTTGGCCTTGCCCTTCAAACAAATTAATTGAACACCTGAGGTGTTCAGGGGGGTAGGGATTTTAACTTCAATCTTCTGACCCAACAATGATGGCTTGAAATTGGATTTCAATACCACCTTGACTTCCATCTTGGTACGTCCAACTTCACGCACCAGAGGTATAACACGGAATGGCAGCGAAATATCTTTGGTTGTACGATAACGCATCAATTCGAATTCACCGTCCGGCGGTATAAAACTTATCGAATGTTCTGTTTCAAATTTACTTAGTTTAACGCATTGGTGGAACTGACAGTCGTCAATAACTACCACCGGTTTGCCTGAGCGAGAAGTATCGGCCTCAGAGTTACCAGATAATCCACGACCTCTAGATTCCATAACAATTTTGTCATTAATACCGAATTTGCATTCAGGCATACCTAAAAATGGAATTTAAAGATCGAAAATTATTGTTACTCTCACTTTGCTGTATTTAAACGGGGTATGTAGATTTCACTGATGCCGAATCGCTTTGAGGAATACATCATTGAAAAACCTATATTTATGTATTCGTGAAAGCGTTTCGACACCTTGCCATCGTCTATCGATATTTTATTATCAGGATTAGCTATATTTTTTCCACTCTGTTAAAAGATATGTTAGTTGAGGCTATTAAAAGATCCAATTAACTTAGATGCTTCTGAAATTTGCTTTGTAATTAGAGCGTTGGAGTGTTGTTGTAAACCACCGACAATTGATATATACTTACCAGACAAATATGATTTCATTACAACGCGACCAGCAACGTGAGCAGAAAGCACCTGCCCCTGTGGGCTCATAAGCAAATTAACGTATTCCAAAACATCCAGGAACAATTCATTGCGTCGATATTTAATACCTTCACGTCTCCAACCGATTTGGCCAGTAACCTTAAAAATAAAGAAAATATATGTTGCATATATAAAATATTCAAATATTTGCAGCTATATATTAAAAAACAACAAAAAAACGAGAATATCGCAAATTAAAAAGAAAATATATATATATATAGTTTTTAATTTGCAATTTCTTTCGTATACAAGAATCTGGACCAAAGGACCCAAACCGATTCATAAAACAACAACATGTGGACTACTCCAAAAGCTTAGAACAATCAAAGTATTTGTTTAATAATATCTTAACTTATATTAATTTGGAGGGGGTCAGAACCCCTGCACTTCGAAAAAATCTTAATTATTGCAATTAGGTTATGAGATGTGATATGATGAAGCTTACAACATTTTGGAGAAGATTTAGATGTTGTGATTGTTTACAAATCAATTTACCAAAAATAAATAAGTCAAACTTTCACGAAATAAATAGTTAAATCATGTCACAGAGATGTGGTTCTTATAGAAACTGCATTGTACGTCCGTGTCCTAAAACATTTGCAATTGATATTTTCATGTTTTGACTATTATACCTAGCTGTGTCCTTATTGAAAATATTCAAATTAATTTCGTTATGATTTAATTATGTTATGTCCGAGTCCTTTACACTGCGTTTCGAAATATACGATTATATAACATGCATTTATGTCCATTTGTAATAAATCATCATATAATTATATAGGTCTCTAATATGTGTTACATATCCAGTGCCAAAAAAAATGTTTGTATTATTTTATGCATTTTCTCTGCGACACATCCCACAATCAAGCCCGCATAATCAACAATACATAATTACAAAAAAATAGCTTATCAGCAATAAAAGGCAATAACACTTACTTGAGATGTGATTTGCATTTGCTCTTCCTTCGTTGCCGACTTGATGCCCTGCTGAGTAATGAAGGTTTTCAATGTACCCGAATCGGTATTTTGAGGATAGCCAAAATCGAGAATTTCATCAAGCAGCTCGTAAATTAATACAAAATTGTTCTTAATGTTTTCTTCGGATATTTTGCCAAAGTACGACTGCATGACCTCAATGATCTTCAACAAGAACTCAAACACCATGGCAGCGTTAACATTTTGTTTTGTCACAGCAGCCAACCAAATATTAGCCCGCTATAGACACAATAGAAATAAAAACGAGAGGGAATAGTTGATAAGAAATTCCTTTACCGAATACCAACTTGTCGAGCCAGTCAGGCTGCGACTTGGAGTGCAGACCCCTGGCAATTATGCCACCTCACTAACCTTTATGTGGAAAAAGCTGGTACGAGCAATATTCGTAACCGGTGAACGGACCTGCTGGCGAGCATGAATTACATTGACACGAAACGCGTCCACGGCATTACGTCCAATATCATCGCGATAGACACGGCTGATGAGCACCTCACCTTTGTGGTTGTATACAAACAAACCACCAATCATTTTGAGACACTTTCTTGAGCTAAATTTGAGGAATTCTTCAGGTTCTCCCCTTACTGTCGGCAATGATGTAAATGGAGTGTTTTTGCAGCGTTTGTTACAAAAAATTATTTCTTTAATTGATTCCAGCAGAATTTCTCTATTTCTTTTTTCTTCAGCTCGATAATACTACTCCCCTTTTTTCATTGATGACAGTACGATAGTCAGTGCGATCTAGTGATGAGACATGGCAACATAATGTTATCGATAAATTACTGAGATAGTTGAAAGGCGATAACTTGTAATACACAATTAGTTGTACAACAAAAAATATTAAGTAAATTGTATTACTAACTATTTAAATAGCCGACTATTGTTTCAAAAAAATGAGTGCTCTAAAATTAACCATTTCACGTCGACATATCAGGAGAGTATCAAGTTGAAATTACAAAAATATTTTCTTTTGAAAATCTTCGACTCATTTGAATTTCCTCCAAATTAATATTTAATTTTCGAACCTTGATATTTTTTGTTAAATTAGACCAAGTTTGTAATATTATAAATATATGTATGCAATTATTAATCCTCAAAATAAAAATTGAAAAACATCAATGAGAATGTATCAAATTTATATTTCTATCGCTTCCATATATTTCCTATAATTGAGCCATTGCCACTTATATGTGTAACACATATGAAAATGCAGCGAATTGCGAGTTATTCCACGAAGAAAGATTTGCTTCCTCAAACTTTCCCAGCAGGCAGATTTAGTAAATTGAATACCGGAGCATATTTAAAAAAGAACAATTTCAAATTGTATGCGTTCCCAATTTTCCTCTTGGGTGATTTTTAAAAACATAATTTGTCAAATTCATATTGAGGGATTGGGATTTGCTGTTACCTTTTATAATTGTACCATGATAAAATATATTATTTTTTTGAAGCACAAGCAAATTACTAGACTATTGTACAACTACTCATACGATGTGACACAAGAAAGTACCCGTTAACCAATTACAATATTTTCTCGTCGAAATTGTTGTTGTTCGGTGTTTTGTAGTCTTCTTCTTCTTCGCTGATGATTTGCGATTTGCAATTCTCAGTTGAACGACACAAATTCTAGTAAATTGTTTTAATATAAAAAAAAGTATTTTCGTATTCCTTACTTCCCTCATAATCGAAAACAAAGTCAAAAATGCCAGTTGAAAACTTGGAAGAGCAAGGATTGGAAAAGAATCCCAACTTGGAATTGGCACAATACAAATTCCTCTTAACACTTTCGGAACACAAACAAGATGCGGCCCTGAAAAACAAATTGTTGGAAGCCGTAAAAGCCGATAACATGGCACCATACTATGAGTACCTCTGCACAGAACTGGGTTGGACAGTCGACAAGGGTTTGTTGGACAAAATGAAGGAGCAAAATACCAAGGATTTGGAGAAGCTCGATGAAGCCATTGAGGACGCTGAAAAAAATCTCGGTGAAATGGAAGTTCGTGAGGCGAATTTAAAAAAGTCTGAATATTTGTGCCGTATAGGAGACAAAGCTGCGGCTGAGTTCGCCTTCCGCAAAACATACGAAAAGACAGTATCATTAGGACATCGTCTGGATATTGTATTCCATCTAATTCGCTTGGGTCTTTTCTACTTGGATCACGATCTCATAACCAGAAATATTGAGAAGGCCAAGTATTTAATTGAGGAAGGTGGAGACTGGGACAGACGTAATCGCCTAAAAGTGTACCAGGGCGTCTATTCTGTAGCGGTGAGAGATTTCAAAGCTGCTGCCACATTCTTTTTGGACACTGTAAGCACCTTCACCTCCTACGAATTGATGGACTACCCCACGTTCGTACGTTACACCGTATATGTGGCTATGATAGCCTTGCCACGAAATGAGTTGCGTGACAAGGTCATCAAAGGTGCCGAAATTCAAGAAGTTCTTCATGGCCTGCCTGATGTTAAGCGCTACCTATTTTCCCTGTACAATTGTCATTATGCAGATTTCTTCAAGTATTTGGCTGAAGTAGAGGTAGTACTCCGCAAGGATTACCTTGCACATCCCCATTACCGTTTCTACGTCCGCGAAATGCGCATATTGGCCTACACTCAATTACTGGAATCCTATCGTTCATTGACACTTCAATATATGGCTGAGGCTTTTGGTGTCAGTGTCGACTACATTGACCAGGAGCTGTCACGTTTCATTGCTGCCGGTCGGCTACATGCCAAAGTGGATCGTGTAGGAGGCATTGTAGAAACAAATCGTCCAGATAGTAAAAATTGGCAATACCAGGCTACTATTAAACAGGGCGATCTCTTGCTGAATCGCATACAGAAGCTTAGCCGAGTTATTAATATTTAAAATACAAATAAGCGATGTTTTGTACTCACCCACACCATACTATAATGAAATAAAACAAAATATGTACACACATTAATTACCCCAAAATAAAAAAAAAACATAAAATGTATTTAACAAACATGACTTTTAATTACAATTAACAAAGTTATAAAAAAAAGAAATTCATTGTGTATCCTTATAAAATAGAATAATATTTCTATATTTACTTTTGGTAAATATATATATATATATATATATATATTTCTTAGTAATTGTATTATTTACTTATTTGACTAAAGTTTTACTAAAATTCTTTGGAAGTTTCTTTGGATAAGATATTAGTAACGAATGTGGAGTATTTGAATATAACAAAAAATTAAAATATATATGTATATTAAACTATATTGTATTAAACTAATCTATGGCTGAATATGTGTTCAATATTATTTATTACAACCTTATATTTTTGTAAATTGGTCTTAAAAACACACATTTGTGTTTGGTATACAAGTTTTTTATTTCACGATACCAAAACAAGTACTAACAATAAAGCTTTCCATTATGATATATAAATATTCATTCGATTGATGTTTTCACATAACTAAAAAACACCAATCGTAAAAAATTTGTCACTTCGGAGTCTATTTAATTCCATTATTCATTGTCGCCTATTACCTAAACTCAATTTTTTAACAACTTCAATGATGTTACAGTTTCTTATTTCAATTGTTTATATATTCCTACAACGATATACATACATTTTTACTGTTTGTATGTATGCAGTATATATGCAAAATATCGCAATGATTTTGCTTAAATCATATATTAATGTTGAATTCCGGTTTCATTCTTACACGACCAGTCGGCATTTTCTTGGCTATTGTTGTTGCTATTAGTGTTAGGCGATGTTGGACGATGTATATGCGGGTCTTTATAAGCTTCCAAAGATGTATCTTGTTTATAGCTTCTGGTACCGTGTTCAAATCGTTCGCGATCTGATGATCGCATTCCACAATCTAGTGGTTGTTCATCGTGTAGCGATGCTCCATCTTCTAAATTATGCATTGCCCTGGATTCAGGGTGCAGTGAGGTTTGTTGGTGTTCTTCATGCTGCAGTTGATGTTGTTGTAGCTGTTGCTGGTGTTGATGATTAAGCTTCATATGATCCTCATTGTCCAAGGATATTGATCTCTTACCTAAATCTAGCAGGGTACCTGCCATGACATTTGCTGCCTCCATGTGTGATTGAAGTGACAGCGGCGAACCAGCGCTAGCGGCCACTAAATTGCTTAAATTACTGGCAATGCTGTTCACGTTGTGACGTCTTAGATTTTCCACGGCCAATCGATTTGTACTTAAATTTATGAGAGCATTCATCATTACTTTGTTGCGCTGATAATCTTTGCGTAGATGCTGTCGGATTTCGGTGTGACAGTGTTCATTGTTAGTTACAATTATTTCGCCAGTATCGGTGGTAGTAACTCGTGCCTTGCAATTGAATTTACGCGACAAATTGCATTGCCAGTATTTCTTGTCTTTGCGTACATATTGAATTCCAAAAGTGTGACCATCGTGGACCAGTAGCGGTTTGCCGCGTTGGCTCAACATAAATTCTAACTTGCCCTGGAACCAATGCTCACCGGGACCAACTAAATATAAATTTGAAGGGAATATATCAATATTGTAATATCAACGATGTGTTAGTGAATGTTTTCATTACCAATTAGTTATATGGATGAAGCGAGATGGTGTGCAATACCTTTTAAAAATGAAATTAAGTGATTTAACTATGATGATCCCCTTGTCTGTTTTGAATGTTCTCGATGTCGATGGGCATTCAATCATGCATTACCAAATGAAGACGCCACAATGTGGGTGTTATATAAGATGATAATATTATAGTATACCCAAATAAATGATTTTTTCTATTGTATATAGACAAATAATTTGTATACTCACCCAAACACGTAACTGACAAACATACATTTTGAGGTATTCCCAGTGAACAGCATTTTTTAATGATTTTTATTAGTCTAAAATATCTGACGAAGATAATTTATTTTCCCCAATGCCACTTGTGAGTTACCATTTGTTGTAAACATTAATTTTAAAAAATATATTTCAAATTGATTAATTGTCAAGTCCAATGTAAATTTATGGCAAGGAAGGATGTAGCTACTAGCTGATTAAATTTTGTTTTGAGAATACGCCTAGTTTATCCAAACAAAATAACTAATAACTTTATGTGTGTTTTAATTAACATGCAACATATCATGTATTATATTGAAATCAATTGGAATCATGTATTATACTATCGTATTTGATATTTTATGTATGTAGAAAGCCTGGCATTCAATTTGTTTGCTTTTTTCTAAAATAAAAAATAAACATAACAACATTTTTATAAATTAAATCATAAACTCAGATATGTGCCATCTCGGAGATGTCAAAAATGGTTCATGTGTTTGTTTATCGGATTAGATAATTATAAATTTATCTTTCGATTTGAGAATAAAAATTCTTATAAATTATTGCAGGTTAGTGAAACTTCTTAGAATGTTAGCAAAACTCAGAACAGACCCCACAAATTAATTGCATGCAGATTATTTTTGTAAAATTATTATACTATGATTAACATTTGACTATAAATATAATACTACTTTTTATGAAAACCTTACAATTGAGAAAAATAACCTGAAGGTAACATGAAAAATATAAATTTCTTTTATATTTCCTTTATTCTATGGCCAAATATAATTCTTGTATGTACATTGCTTATGAGAATAAATTCTATTTTCTTTATTTTTTATAATAAATAAAAAAAGCAATACATATACATTTTGGTATAGTATATAGGCGTAATTAACAAGGAATCTACGAAAACAGATTGCTGCTGCCTAATACACATATTTTAGATGCACATTTAATTCGTATTTCGGTTATTCGCTATTCTTTTATAAAGGCTCCATTTTAAAATTATGGCCATTACCACCCGGTGATATGGTTATGGAATCTATTACTTGAACTGGTTCATGTTGCTGTTTATGATGACGTTGTTGCTGTTGTTGATGGTGGTGGTGATGTTCTGTGGTAGATTTGTCGTTCTGTTGGCGATCACTCTCGTCATGCATATGATGCGATGGTGATAGCTCTGCAGCATTTTGTACCGGTATATGGTCATCGTTTAACTTTTGAGATTTTCCGTTAGTAGTTTCGTACATTTGTTGATTAGCATTTCTAGTTTGCTCTCCTGACGATGTTGGTGTAATGTCATAGTTACCGTGATCCTGTGGATGCATTATCGGTGTAGTTATATTATTTGTTGATTGAGGTGGCAGTGGCGGGTGATGTAAAATTGATAGTTGATGTTGCCCCATGTTCGATGGCATTTGTACAAAATGATGGGAACTGTTGGGAGGTACTGTATTGGCTTCAGCTGCCGCAAATGTTGAATGCTGCATTGGAGGTGGAGTTGATGGCGGCATTGGATGTCCATGGTGTGATCCGTGGTAGTTAGGCTGGAAAATATTCGCACTGGGCGTCGTTACATTTTGGGAAAATCTGACAGATGTGGGACCACTTCCACTGCTTATATTGTTACTATTACTAGACCCCAAGTTGACATCATTCAAGGGACCACCACAACCGGGTATGGGTGTAACACCAGCGCTATTTCCTCTCATATGTGGCGGATGGTTGTGAACTCCAGTGGCGGATATAATCTTTCCTTGATGTGTAATACAACGGGCTCGACACATACTAATCCGATATGATTTGCACAACCAATAGGTTTTCATACCCTGTTGTGTGGCCACGGTGTTATTGCGATTGAAAACACAATTGCCGTGAAGCAAAGAAGTTGAACTTAACATCACCACATTAGGACAATCTAGGCATGGACATAGGTAAAGTAGCGAAACGTAAGGTTTTATTGAAAATATATTTGTGTTAAAACTTTAAATGATTTGTACAACTTGTATTTGTTATTTACAAAAATAAAACATATGTTTCGAATTAAAAGCAACTAATACTTCTCATTAAAATATATACAAAGAAAAATAGGTGCAACTAATGTGCGATTGAAAAGTGCATAAATTGCAATACTATTTTCAAAATACACAAATAAATGTAAATATATAAACATTTGTTATTCGTATCTTGAAGATTTTTTATACAACATACATTTGTAAAAAAAAACAACACATTGATATCAATGTTGTTGAAATATACATAATTATTAAGGAGCCCTGACAATCGAGAGAACTTCTTATTCTATTCGTATAACATTAGGAAAAAATATGTACAAATAAATACATACAAACAAAAAAAGACCTATTTAATATGAATTAATAATGATTAATTATATATGATTAACGCCACCACTACCATTATTATATGCATATTAAGGTGTCCCCAAAATTAGACCGTTTTATTAAAATTTAATTTATTAAGTATAGTTACAAAGTAAGCCAAAGCCAAATGTTTACACTTTAACTTGTTTCTTCAATTAAGATTCTCGGTGTAATTCATATTTAATTAGTCCATTCAATGGATTGGCGTTTTGGTCTGTCATTCGCTTTCCTCAATAACTAAATATATGATCAATGGATCCAATTTCAATATACCTAGAACTTATAGGCTAAGCATTCCAATAAACAAATGTCCATTTATTTGGACATTAGGCTAAGCATTCCATCGGGACGTTGTATCCTTACTGCCGCAAATACCAAAACAATTAGAGATGGCTAACATGTACGATACATACAATACTCGCTCAAACCTTGAATATTCTCTCAAGACATTTAATATAAATACTTAAGACATATATTGTCATTTAGAATGGTTAAATGTAAAAAATGTTTGAATTTAAAGATACATATTACAATTAACATTTAATAAAAATATTACCATAAACATGTTACTAACTTATACATAATGAGTAATGATTTTTGTCACACAAAAAGTGTTAGTGGAACTTCTAAAATAAATTGTCCCAAGCACCAAACACAAAAATAGAAGAGTAGTACAGGACAGATCAAAATACAAAAAACTACCATAAAACAAAAACAACATAGTGAAATTAAATCAGAACTTACTTGGCGGTATATCCATATGATTCGCAAATCCTTTAGAATAATCGCCACTGGATATATTTAATTCGTTGGGAAATTCTTGGGAAATTGTCGAGGCCGAACCGCTATTATTATTCTTATAGAAGGAATAGTCTAAACCAAAAGCTGCCGGATTAAATGAGTTGCGCAACGAAGCTGCAGCCGCGGCTGCAGCTGCTGCATTCGAACTGTTTGCGTTATGGTGATGTTCAGAACCCTCTCTCTTTACACTATTCAAATCATATCGTCCTTCCACCATTGACATATGTGGCATAAAAAAGTCTTCGGCGTTCATTTGATCCATACTACTGCTGCCACCAACATCTGATCCCTCATTGTTGTCGCTACTCTGATCCGTTGGCATTGTTGTACGACGATTCTTATTCCTGGAATATATAGATAGAGAATCGGAATTGAAATCCGACAAATGACGTTTGAGCCCGGAACTGCTAGGAGTTAAGTGGAAGTTGTGATGTGCATTATTTTCGCCTTGTTTCTGACTAACATTTGATATATTTAGCGAAGGAGAGGCAGGGGACGACATATCGGGCGATTGTATTCTTTGTGGTGTATTTGAGCTTGTTGTTGCATTTGTTGGTGTTTGTGATGGTTTTTCTGAGTTATTTGTGGTACTATCGTTGTGATTTCCAGCCTCAATGTTTGGAGAGGCAGCAGATTTCGGTGTTGAACTGGATGGTTGTGAGGGTTCTCTTTCATTTGGATTTTGATTTAAACTTGATTTATCCGACAAAGAGGGACCGGCGGAGGATGATGATGTATTTGTTGCAAGGCCTTTGATTTGCAGCAGCTGGCCAATTTTCATGAATGCTTGCAATTCAGTGTGTTTGACATTGACAACTCCTTGATACATAAATTCCAGAAGTTCACACATTATTGTATAGGAAACGTCTTTGAGAATAACTGTAAGAATGAAACAAAAACATTTTTTTAACACTGTACAAAAAAAAAAAATAATAATAATAATAAAATAAATAGAGCAATATAAAAAAATAAGTAGATTTACTTTTTAATGGCTGAAATACTGAAAAATATCGCGAGCATGTATGGGTGTTTGGATTCAACCTATGAGTTCTGTGCAAGTTATGGTACCGTACTATTATAGGTACTGCTATAATCCCAACAGGATTTAAAAGAAAATAAATCAACTATTAGATTATAGTTTCTCAAAAAAAAATATATATAGATTAAGCCGGGATTGGAAGAAGAACACCCTCCAAAATTGGAGGTACTTTTGTTTAATTAAAATGCCATAATAGAGTGATTTGTGTGGATGTACGTTAATTAGTATGTAATTTCAATACTTTAGATTTTGTATTCTAGTTAGAGCTCAGAATGTGATTGACGCCGTTCATAAGCAGCACAGCGTCGTGCAACAACAAAAAAGAGGTCAGTCATATTCCTATAAGATGTTATCGCTTCAAGTAAAGTAATAACGAGTACAAATACTAAATCAATACATAAAATTATTTACGATAAGAGACAAAATATATAAAAAAATACACATCACAAACATACATACGTATATACCGATCCGAACTGAACTGTACTTATTTATTTATATTAAAATCTTAAAAACAACTTAAAGGCAGACTACGACGAATGGAAAAACAGCATCAGAACACATCTACTTAAAAACAATATTATCACTTGTTCTCAATAATCACACATATTTTATTTTTGTATTTTTTTATTTCGACACGTCTGTCAGATAGATAGATAGATAGTCAGTTAAAGGGACGTTTGGGGCAATGGACCAATCAGAAAAATCCACTCAGTTACAGATAAGTGCATAGATGAACGAACGTGCGATTGAACGAACGGATAGATACGGATACGTACGAGAAATCAATGTACAACGCTTTGGATGATTATTAATTTTAATTTTGTTGTTGGGCCCCCAGATTAATCTAGGAAATGCCTCTTGACCTAAACAATAGGGTCATACAATTGGAAAAACATGTTATCTAAATCAGAAACACCAAAATTCGTCATAGGAAAAATAGTTCAAATTGTACCTATAGCTTTGATAATTGTTCTCTCTTCTGACAATTTGATTAGAATTACCTAAGCTCGTCAAATTTTACTGCTTTGTACGCAAGGGTATAAAAATATATCAATGATTAGAAAATTAAAAATCTAGTACCAAAGGGTTTAACTCCTACATGGGTTTAGTTTCACAAAGTCTTAACAGTTTTAAAAATATAACATTATTATTATTATTAATTTATTCATTTCAAAGTCAAGCCAAAAAACCCTTATATGGCCAGTATACTACAAAATAAACTCGGTTTTATTACAGACAATCGCCTTATGTGTATTGCGTAATACGAAGTGGGTTGTATACATCGAAAGTCAAAAATTAAAAATCGTATTGTAAACTTTACGCCTATAAGTTCCTAATTAAACAAAGAAAAATAAAAACTATTCTAATTCTAACTTCAATAAACCTATATGGGTTTTTTGTTACAAGGACATTTTTTACTCTCAGATGTTTTGAGGTGGACAAAAAATATTCAACTTATGACTCTATTTTAAACCTGAATTTTGAATTTAAAAACTAGATAAATATACATTACTAAGAATTTAAATTTGATCCCCGCTCCCAAAAATGATAAAGAAAACGCCATTACAGATAAACTATCATCATCTTTCCGTATTCAAATTGATAAAGGTACTGAACTCCTGAAGACTCTTCTGTATAAAGATATTGATATCAGTGGAATTTATTTTACTACAAATAAACACACACTCAACTGATTACATGTTTACTCAAAATCGATTAAATTTTAAATATATTTTTGACAACAACAAAACATACACAAGCAAGCAAGCACACATGACACCAAAATCAGCCCAGAATGGAGATTATCTCTGGGCAATAAAAGAGAACATAATTTAAATGGAAACAGAAATATAATAAAAATATTAAAAGAGCTCCCCCCACCCTCTTTTCTTTTTGATTTATTGATGTTTCATTTATATTTCTTGGTATTTTTTTTTTGTTCATTCACGATAAACTTTGTCTAAAGTTCATTGAAATCGTGATAAATCTGGTCGCATCATCATCACCATCATAGAACGGTTTCGCATTGTCCATCGATTATCGCCGTTAGTGAATAAGTATCTCGAATTCTTTATTTTACTACAAATCACAAACTGAAACATTTCAGCAGATAGCTGGACACACATACTGGTCGTACAGATCACACACACACATACATACCGAGTTTATGATACAAATTTCAAAGAAAACAACAACATCAACAAAAATCCAATTGAAATTAGAGCAAATATTTTTAATTCGATTCGGTTCAACATGTTGACCCCTATCTTGTTTACGACGATACACATATTTACACTTAAACACGACTTATAAGTTTTGTGCTACAAATCTAATCTAGAACATAATATTTTTTTAGTGTGATTAGTGGATTAAATTTTATGTTAATCTCTAATATGTTGATAATTAAAAAACAAAAGCAAAATCATTTTCTTCAAAAATGAATATACAATTTTATATATTTCAGGACTACGGATAATATATATATATATATATATATAATAACGTTATACCTAGTAGCCCTAGAACCAAAGGAAAATTATTACCAAAAAGCTCTAAGTAATAAAAAAGTATCTATTACTGCAATATACACCAACAAAAATAAGTTTCCTAAGTTTTTAAGTTTCTTTAATGTTAAATATAAAAGCAGAACTAAATATCAGCATCATTTGGACAGCGCAAATATTCAAAAAGGGCGGACGTATTGAAATACCCCCATAGAAAAAATATAAATTTATAATACAAAAAAAATATGTTTAAGTTGATTTTTCAGATTTTGTTATATGTTTTTTATTCCTGTCGAATTTAGAATCAGTAGCTTTAAGTTTACAATAAAACTTAAAATGTCGGCGTGATATAACATAAATGCGATCAATGATATCTCATTGCAAAAAACCATAGCTAATCGTTTGTTTTTTTTTTTTCAAAGTTCAACAAGCATTATAAATTTATCGTATCGCCATTTATGGAGATATTTTGGTAAACACGCCCCTTGTGTGTTTTTTCTCTCTTAGTTTTATTTGGCCAATTGAAAATAAGCTTTTTGACAAGACCAATAAAACATTCCATTCCAATACGATTACGATAAATGTTTATCGAATCGTGGAATAGTGCTCGGTGTTAAATTTATGAACGTGGGCTAATATTTAACAGTCGTAACTGTTATCTGTAAAAGAAACAAAATTGACCAAAAACAACAAGAAATCAATATAAATACATGCGTATACAAATATTAGATAGTGTCAGTGAGTGTGATTAAACAGTAGCACATCGATAATATGAATATATGAGACATGGAATGCTATACTACAATTGCCGTAAACGACATAAGTAATTCGATACAATAGAATCAATATCAGTGGTGGCCATAAAATAAAGCTTATCAATAATTAAGACAATACACAGAAAGAAAAACAATCACTGAAATAAAGAATATATGATTTTAATAGCAAAAAACTACAACAAAAAATGTTCACATGTTGGCCTTAGTAAGAAAAAATATTCATTTTATAAACATATTTTTTTAAAGCTGTCAATTGCAAATTAACAGCATAAAAACATTTTGTAAATATTAACACCTACATAGATGATATGGTTCAGTTTAATTCGCCAATCATAAAAACAATTGCCCTAGAAAACACGGCTACATTTTGAGAAGAGGTCAATCTTCAAAATGTATTTTATGAATAGTTAAAGTGAAGTGATTTAACTCCATATTTTGGACAAAATTTAAATATTAATCTATGCTACTATCGTCAAATTATCACAACTTCCGTGTGTGGGTAGGATAGATATGCAACCTGCACAAATGATCGCTATTTTCATGTGCTGACTAGTCGACTGTACGGAATAGTTTTTAGATATATTAAAATATAAATTTATATATTTATAAGAATCACTGAGTATAGTGTAATGTTCATGAATATGGATTACCAGCAATATTTGTTGTCCATTGAACTTCTGACAATGAAAGAAGAAACAACAAATCCATATTAATATTTAAAAAAAGCAGACACTATTTTCAAAGAAATCGATAAGAATAATAATGTTATTTGTAATTTTATAATTCAAATATTCGACGATATATATACAAATATACATTCCATAACAATAGTTCTTGCACCACTGATTGATTTATACGTTGACTTGGTGCTTTCTTTTTTTCGATTAGATCAATCGCTTCGCTGACATAAATAAGTTTTAGCATAAATAATGGTCGTTTATTCAATACTAAATTGTGAATTGGCCCAGGCCAAAAGAGTCAATCAAGACTCCAACTACTAGTAATGTGTGTTATTATCATTGAACAGTTCGCCGGTTGCACACAGCACTCGTCAACGATTTAGCCAAACAGAAGTATGCTGATTAAAATCCTGATATAATCATGATAAACTCGTATATGTTTTATATTCGAAAATAGTTTGCTTAATTTATTTTTAAATATAATCTAAAGATTTAGTGTTATTACTTTTGATTTGGGTATTTTTCCAACAGAATATGTTGTACATGTGATTTAAGAACACTTTTAGAGGGGAGGGTGTTGGTTATTATTCAGATATAAATAAAACGCAACCACCAACAAACTAGATTATATTTTTTGTAATGGCCAATTTGGAAGATTTTTTATTTATAACTATTTGGTATTGAATGGAGCTACTAAAATTATGTATTCATAATAAAGCTATCCTAAATAGGATATAAACAAAATTTGACGTCGCTACGTTCTTGCACTTGGGAGATGCAGTGTCTTTTTTTCTGAAGAATAAAAGTCCAATATCAAGAAAAGCAAATGCAATATCGACGAAAAAATATCTTTTAATTATACATTAAGGTTCTTTTT